ATAAATAATTTTTTAAAAAGTTATGTATATTAATAAAATTCTCATTTTTATAAAAATATATACTCCCTTCATTTTTATATATAAAATATTTTTAAATAAATTATACAAATTAATAAAAGTTAATTATCTAATTAAAAACACAATAATATTTTAATTTTATCCCTAATTATTATAAATAAAAAATAAATATTTTTTTAAAATAAATTAATAAGAGTACTTATATTTTTTTCATTTCAATTTAATAAGGATATAATAGTCCATTTATTCAAAAATATGCTAATAATTTCTCATATTTAGAGACAAAAAATGTTCTAAAAAACCTATTATATATAAAGACAGAAGGAGTATTATTTTTCATTTTACCTCTAGTTCAAATTACTAAAGCACTTTATGATTAGTGAGAAATACACTTATACAAATATCTAAATTAATAAACATAAGGGGTAAAATGGTGATTTTATTATATATATTAGGTTACTTATATTTTGAACTAAAGTTAGCTAAAGAAAAATATTTATATTTTAGATGAGTATAATATAAAGGAGTATGTTTATAAGTGCAAAACATTTCTAGTATTTTAAATGTATACTTCTTTTGTTTAAAAATATAAAATAATTTTAATCAAATCTTATCCCAATATAATATAGTTTAATAACTTGAAAAGCTATAAAAATTGATGATTTATACAGTAACAGCATTTTATCACATAGAAAAATAAAAAACCTTAAAAATAGAATATTATTACTATTTTCTAATAAAAGAATTAAGATTTAAATTACATATATTTATAAAATTACATATTTTTTATCTATTAATTAATAGTATAAGTTATTTAAATTTCATTAAAATTACATAAATTTCTGTTTATTTCAAAACTTTTTTTGGCCGGATTTTTATTTTAAAACTTACATGAATTTAACTTGAAATAAATGATATGTTATATAAACTCCTCTTAATTTTCCTGTCTTTGAAATGTTTTCGAAATTTTCCATTAAAGATAACAAAAATCTCTGTTTTGCATTTATTTATTTATGTATTTATTTTTATTGGAGGTTTAATGATTTTTATAAATAAAAATAAAGTTTTTCTTAATGTAAAAAGGCTGTACAATTAACATTTTTTAAAGGATCCATGTTTAATTTTAATAAAATTTAATAAAAATCAATAGACTTAATTTTATATCTTAGATTTTTGTCCTTATAAATTTTACAAATTCCTCCCAGATAAATTAAAATTCACCTCAGAGAACACCCAACTCAAAAAACGTAATTATATTTATAGCTCATACAATAAAGACACTGACGCACCATTTGAGAACTCTTTGCCACTTAATAGTGTTTCTTGCACACTTCCTCTATCTAGCATTATAAAATACTATTTTCAAAATATCATATTAAAAAATATAATGCATTTTTGATCTTTTAAGGTATTATCAATATAGTTTCTTCAACAATGTTCTTAATTAGAAGTGTACTCCTTTTGTTCTTATTTATAAGACAGATAAAAAAATTTTTTTTTAATCCTATTTATAAGTTAAGTTATTAAATTTTCATCACAAACTTTTTCTTTTACTATCCATTAAATGTTAAAGGGAAAAAATATATTATTAAAATATGTATATTTAATATGAGCAAAATTGAGAGATTATTAAATTTTAAGATAAAGTTAATGAGTTTTAAAGTTTTTTTTGATACTAATAAAACATGTTAACTTGGAAAGGAGGGAGTAAGATTTTTTTGGTTGAAAACAAAACCTATTAAATAATAATAAATATAAAAAGAATGTATAATTTTAAAATATCTTGCAATACGTACTAAAGGAAGTGTGAATTTTGAAATGTGTAAAAGGTGTATTCATGAGAATTAACTATTACAAGTAACTTTCAAGTAACTATACGTGTATGTAGAATGGCTGTGTTTGAGAGTACAGTACATAATTACATAAATCCATCAAATGATTAGAACTGTGATTAGTACAATGACTCACAATATTTAAGGAAGTGGAGAATTTTAATAAAAATCCTTTAACCATACTTAATTACACTCAAAACTTTTAAAATTTTATTGCAGATTAGGGGTATTAATTTAATATTAAATTTTAAAAAAAATGATAAAATTGCCCCTCTCCTTTAAATTAATAGCAAGACTTCCCTATTTCACTTATTAATAACTCCACTTCATTTGTTTATTTATTTACCAAATATTGTTAATGACTTTGCTTCACTTGTTTATTTCCCTTGAATGAAATCAAGTAAAAGTTTGATAATGATCAAGTGAAAGCAATAAACAAGTGAAGTAAGGCAATAAACAAATGAAATAGAACAATTAATAATAATCTGTATGTAAATAAACAACACAAAGTATGAGAATTAACAAGTTATCTTACGATAATTTAAACACCTAAAATGAAAATAAGTTAAATAGAACAATTAACAACATTTTGCAAGTCAATGAATAAATGGAATAATGCAATTAACAATCAAACTAGGGAAGTTTTAATATTAATTTAAAGAAGGGATAATTTTGTCATTTTTTTCAAAAATTTAATATCAAATTAATACTTCTAGACTGTAGTAGAATTTCAAAAATTTAGATGCTTTTAATGTAAATAAATTTGGTTGAGGGTCGTTTATTGGAATTTTTCCTAAAAGAAGGGATAATGAAAGTAATCTGCCACCTAAATTAGTTTGTTTTTGTTTAACAAATCAAACTGAAAGGTCAAAATGTGAAGTAAGTATGAAGCAAATCTGAATTAATTAAGATAATTAATCACAATAAATCACATTTGTTCAACCCCACGCGTTTGCTAGGGTGGTTGTGGCTGTGAACTATTGAATCATATTTTGCTACTTGAAAGTTGAAAGCTAAGGCTCCTAGACTTCCCATGTCAAAACAAGTGAAAATGATAATAATATGAACAATTGTTTGACTTTTCCTTTCTGGTTCGAATATGTTTTTAATTTATTTTACTCGGTTAAAAATTAAATTATTTCACAGTGTAAATTATACATCGTTGTCTCTTCATTATTTGAATAAATATCCAATATTGTATATTTATTTTACATGTCACGATTAAATGAAAATAACATTAATTATTTTAAAAAAATAAACACAATATTATGCTTGACATCAAGGACGTGCTTGTTTAAATTTAAAAAATGAAGTGATTTTGATAAGCTAAATATAAATAATTATGTTTCTCATATTAATAATTTTAATTTTATCATCAACAACTTTAGTCTAGGATGCAACAACTACATTTTCTATTATTTTGTAGAGGGTTGAAAAATTTAATTTTATAAAAATATGTCATGTAAGTACGTACAGCAATTATCTCATTATACGGTTTTTTTTTTTATCGGTGCCTATTTGGACTGTGATTTTTTTGTTTTGGTAATTCTCATTTTAAAATAATCATTTTTTGAAAGGCAATCTGAACTAAATAATTTGAAAACAGACTCTTTTTAAGTTAATCTCAACTATCTTGTGTGAATGTAAGTTGGGAGAACCAAATTAAAACTCTCATATGAAAGTTGATATTTCAACTAATCAAACAATTTTTAGTACTCCAAATACAATAAATTATAACTAATTTATATAGTCTAATAAAATTGATTAAGTATAATAATTATATCTAAACGTAGAAATTTTGAATTAAATTATCCCTATAATTTATAATAAATTTATCTCATGAAAATAAACATTGATTTTTTGAGGGACAGTTTGAAAAAAAAACGTAATAAACACTTTTTGAAATTTATAGTTTTGCTTATAAATAAAAACAAAAAGACATACAATAATTTATCTTATATTTGAACATCAGGGGAAGGACTCAATATATAATTTTATCGTTTACATTTAAGTTAGATAACGTTTAAAAAATAAAAAAATTGGATTTAAATAATTTATATCACCACAGTAATGAGCATCAAAGTAGGACTTAAAACTCTGAGTAAAATCACATGAACATTTTATCCACAGATATTCAATCCATTGATGCTAGACAAAAGTAAAACACTAAATTGCCCAATGTTTTACTATGTATATTTACTTTTTTATTTGGCCACCTTTGTGTTATAATTTTTAAATACAGAGAGAAGAATAAGGACAAGAATGTGGTCAAATAAAATAATTGTTAAACTGAGGGTGTGATGCGTGAAACACGAGTACTTTGGTCGTTTTGCAGCCTCATTTAATTACCATACAAAAATTAAAATACAGGTGGCAGACGGTGTGTCTTTTGCTTCCGAATAAAATCAAAACGGAAAAGAAACTAAGAAAGTGAGAAGATGACAAAATAATTTATATGGTTCTGTTTACACTTTACATCGTTAATGGAATATTTATTTTGATTTTATTTATAATGTATTTTTATAATTTTTATTTTTGTTCCTATTAAATGCTACAAAAATTATTAAATATCATAATATTTAATTTTTAATATATATATATATTTTAATTTTATTTATCATTATTTCTAACATTTCTATTGAAATTAAAAAAAAACTTTAAAGTTGAACCTCATCAATTCTATCTAAAGTTCAACATGTTTCTAATGTTATCCTCATTAAATGTATATATTTTAAAAATAAATTAATCTATTATTTGATAACCTTATTAATATTTAATGAGGTAAAATGATAAAAATAAGTATATTAATTATTAAGGTGTCATATAAATATGATTAAAAGAATATTTAATATAATAAAGTTAAAAAATTTATTAAATTTTTAAATAATATTAACAAGATTTAAAATTATTATACGACTGTAAGAGAAAGCATAGACAATGTAAAAGACAATATTATCTCTGATAAGATATTTAATGAGATCAAAATTAAAAAATTATTAAATTTATAGATAAAATTAATACATTTTATTATTATTATTTTTTTAATAAAACATGTAAAGAGTAAGACGGATAGAGTAAAATTACAGAGACAAGATAGAGAAGCGGGGGGTTTCAACAGGAAGCTTTTAAGGGGGTTGTTGGCAATAACAAAAGCAGAACCAAACAACTGTCCGTTGCAGAGGCCTGAGACCCATGATTTGCCCATGGCAAAAAGGTAACGCTCGCTACCAGCAGAGGCCTCTCAGCCTGAGGGAAAAAGTAGGGTCCAAGGGTAATTATAGGCATTCAAAGAGTCCCAGACTCCTCTCCCCCACACTCACAGATCTCTGCCAAATTAAAACAATCCAAATTCACTAAAAGCTCATTCCTTTGCCTCTTCCACAATCTGGGATTGTCATTCAGTGAGTAAACCAGACCAAGCTTCCTCACTATACACTCCTCTTCGCACCATTACCAACATAGTCTCTGTTCTATCTCTATCGCTGATTTTTTAGGGACATGGTGGGTGACACAGCTCGCTGTAGGTCTATATAGTGCCCCCTAGATTTGTGTCTTTGTACCTTCTACTCTGTCAACTTCTGCGTTCAATCTGAGCCATGAGGAAGCATGGATGGCAGCTGCCTTACCATCCTCTGCAGGTTGTTGTCAATATGTGTGTTCTTTGCACTAGTGCTTTCTGGTGTTTCATAGGATTTTACTCATTTTGAGAATTTTTCCCGAAGGTGGTGGCGATTGCTGTGTTTTTGGCCTTGGGATTCGCATTTTATGTGTTCTTCGCTCCTTTTGTTGGAAAAAAGATGTATCAGTACATTGTTATGGGCCTCTACACGCCCCTGGTAAACCAATCTCTGACCTTTCTCTGCTTTTTGTATACAAATTCTGTTGCTTGTTTTGGTCGGTGAAGGAAATGAGATCTGCGATTGGTACTGTCCGATTTGTGAGTTCCTTCTTCTTCTATCCTCTTTCTGGATTTTCATTTGGCTAGATTTTTAAAGGGTATCATTCTGTGATCACCTCTCAATATCTCCTTCCTTTTTCTACCCACTTTTAGTGTCCTTCAAGAAAGAGCCCGTTCAAGATACGTAAACTAGAAATAAATGCCTTAGCCTTCGTTATCCTGATAATGAAATGCTGCTGTGTGCTTTCGCTTTCTCAACTATATTACCCTTCCCAATAGTTGACACCTTAGCATACATATAAATGTCGATTCAAACTTATTTGAATTTTGAATACGAGGTTTGCTTGAAATATCTCTCTGACATTCTTTACTTGAATGTCTGCCAGCTATTCGACCCTTGATAGAGGGGTCTCAATATATCTAGCAAATAGCCAAATACTTGAATCTCTTGTAAACCCCAGAGGACGTTGACTTAAATTTCATGGCAACTTGAATAGATTTAGCGCTAAAATTTGCAGAAGTTTATCCTGCTTCTGGGATGTAGAACTAGTACAGATAGTTCTGGTTGACTTCCTGGTTCTTGACTTAGTTTCCATGCTTGAGTGTATTTGGCATCTATCCTAACTTAGCTTGTTGATATATTTCTTCTGGCTGTTTGCAAGTTTGATCCCACCTACGATGCTTTTAGTAGTTTGTAGGTGTGAATTTTTTCACGATTTCTGTTACCCTCTTTCACTCTGTCTAAATGACTAATTTTGTGATCCGGTTTTAAGTGTAACAATTTGTAAAACAAGGATAATTACTAAATGGTATCCATTTGACGAGATTATTCCCATTTTCTGAGGAAATGTATAATGATCAGAAGTAAATGTGTTAACTCATGAAGTATTAATATATGCAAAGAACGTCACCGTGTTTTAGTAATATCTAACCTTTTGCCAGATTACTTGCGCCTTTGGACTGTACATTTGGTGTGCAGCTGCTGATCCAGCAGATCCAGGAGTTTTTAAGTCCAAAAAGTATCTAAATATTCCAGAAAGTGGAAAGCTTGCGGGATTAAATGGTTCTAAGTTGGGTGGGGGATCAACTTCGTCAATGCATGATGCAAATGCTTCAATAGTTGGAGCCAAGTCTCTGGATAAGGAAGAGCAAGGTACAGAATTAAGTTTGAAAGATGCTGCTATTTCAACAGTGAAGGGTGCATCAGCGTCACCTTCATCCTCTTTCCTGTGTCCTTTTGCTTTAATCTGCTGCTGTTCTAAACCAAATGATGAATCAACTGACCAACAAAATAGTGAAGATGGCATGTTCTATTGCAGTTTGTGTGAAGTTGAGGTGAGTAACAACAATTGACTAAAGATTTATTCCTCCAAAGTCTACTTCCTGACATAATTGTTGGAATGCATTCTGCATTTAAGTAGTGATGAGGTAAACAGATAATTTTACCTCAAAATTACCTCGACAGTCCTGCATGCTGAAGTAAGATATGCAATTTGTGTCCTTGATATCATTCTTTATAATGCTACCTGTTATGCTATCACCTTATGCTTAGCCTCAACAGAATGCTCGAATCTTGGAACTATTACATGAATGCAAGTTTCATTCTGTAGATTCCAAAATTAAAGTTTTACATCATTGAATAATGCTACCATTGCAGGTCTTCAAATACAGCAAGCACTGTAGAGTCTGTGACAAGTGTGTTGACCGCTTTGATCACCATTGCAGAGTATGAGGATCTGGTTTCTGGTTTCTGGTTTCCGGCTTCTTTCCTTGTCATTTGATGCATGTTCTGAAGACCTGTTGCATCTTTGTTTTTGCAGTGGCTTAACAATTGCGTAGGGAAAAGGAACTACCGACAATTTTTTACCCTCATGATTTCTGCTCTCCTCTTGGTAAGCAAGACTATCCACCCTGCCTTGCCTTTGCTTAAGAAGTATGAGATTAGTTTTCCTTTCTCGTAAAATGGTCATGCCATCCTATACCTGCAACAATAATTGTTGCAAGCAACATGCCGGAACCAGACGACCACCCCAGAGTAAGCATTTTTTATTTCCTAGTCATTTTCATTTTGATTAACTATTGACAGGTATATACATGGTTTGTGCACCTTGGGCTTGAGATTGCAGCTTATTCTTCAATGGTCTACTGGGATGTTTGTGCTTATCTGCTGTTTTCTAGAGAGAGAGAAATTTTCAGTGGATATCTCTGCCAAGTTGGGAAGCAGTTTCTCTCTGGTGCCTTTCGTTATTGTGTTGGTGAGCATTATTTCTTGCCCCCCCTTTTTTTGGTACACGATGTTCATTGGTGACTGTACTGCTAAAATTGATACATGTCCTTTTGCACAATGAACGTTTTTTCTGCTCGGTTCTTTTTGCTTGTTCTTTAATTTTGTCCCTTCTTCCATTTTAATGAATGAATTTAGCAATTTATATTTTGCAAAAATTGCAGCTGCTATTTCCAACTACTATTCTTATGCCTACAAAACTTTTCCCCCTTGTCACAGGTTGTTTGCTCAATTTTGGCTGTCATTGCTACCTTGCCCCTTGCTCAACTTTTCTTCTTTCATATCCTTCTCATTAGAAAGGTAAGCTTGAAATTTGTATATTGCTTTGATAATCTGGTTGTATATTTGTTAAAAGTCCCACATTGCTTGCCCGTCTTTGAGTATGTTTTATTTAGTTGTTGGACAACTATGCTGATATCAGGTGGTTCTAGATTAGAATCTAATGTGGTAGCAGAGTCCAATCCTACCGCATCAATTTACACATATAAACATAAATGGACTTGTTACCCATATGAATATTATTACTGATAACTCAGGGAATCAGCACTTATGATTACGTCATAGCTCTAAGGGAGCAGGAGCAAGACCTGCAGGGAGTTGGAGGTCAGCAGAGCCCCCAAATGTCTACTGTCAGCTCACTTACAGGATTAAGCAGTGCAAGTTCATTCACTACTTTCCACCGTGGTGCATGGTGCACGCCCCCACGCATGTTCCTTGAAGATCAGGTGATTCTACAAGTCTATATCTTCATGGGATTCATGTTTATTGTCCTTTGCTTCTTATTTTATGATTGGACCTTTTCTGCTTAAACTGCCTTGCTATTGTTTTTACAAAAGCACTGATGCATGTGAATATGTATTTGGAGTAAACTTTTGATATGATATCCCATGATTAATAATAGTTCCTAAACTGTCGAGTAACAACCTTACTATTAAGCATTTGATCCTCTTAGAGCATCATAGCAGCTTCTACCATTGAGAGAATATTCATATATAAATGAAGCTGAAGTATGATTTCATGTCCTATTTATCATTATCTGCTTTATTCTATACTTACCGGACACTTGTTTCTATTTTTCTCTCGTGGGGTTGTGGGGGGTGGGGATAGTTTGATGTGGTGCCCCCCGAAACAGGTTCTGTAAGTTCACTAGGAAGGAAGACATTGAGAGATGAACCAGTCAAGAAAAAGAATCCCAGAACTGTGAAAATCAGTCCATGGACATTGGCACGGTTGAATGCCGAAGATGTCTCCAAGGCTGCTGCAGAGGCAAGAAAAAAGTCCAAGATCCTGCAGCCTGTAATGCAACAGGAAAAATCTTTCAGGCTAGAACATGCCAGCAACTTTGGAAGCAGTGGCCGGCGATTGGTCCCCAGGGTTGACAGTAACAGAAGGAGGGCAGCAAGCGGGTTCGCCTTCCTGCTGACCTACCTATGGAGCCTCTGACAAACGATTCTGCCATTGATATGGATAAAACTTTGGTGGAACATCTAATTTAGCCCCTCTTCAGCTGGAAGCTCGAAGTGCATTCCAAGCTAGTAGAGTAATGTCAAGCTCAGCTGGGATCATTACTACTTCGTCTCCTGAAAGCAGTTTAGATTCCCCCGATATCCACCCTTTTCGAGTATCTTCATCGGCGGCTGAAGAAGCGAGGCAGCTAGCAGCAGGTCTTTCTGCTGCTGGCACCACGACTCTGAAGGAAATCCCTCTGTCAAGGTCAACTAGTGACGGGTATGAAGCTTCTGGCGGGGAAGACAGTGACAGGGTTCCTGCCAGGATTGTTCAAAGATCTACGAATTGGACTAATCTTCTTTTCAATCCTGATCATGATGAGAGGTACTCAAATCTAAAATCTTCTTCCAGCCTGGTTCATGGTAGAAAGTTGTGACCAAGTTGAGAGCTTTGCTTCTGACTATACTGTTGGGAATTTTTCATTCTTTGATTTGTGAGCCAGAGGTACTTTCAGCATTCGGAAGCTAAAGCTGACCCCAAAAAATGTGCAGTACGGTTTTGTGAAAGTCATGCGGTAACTGGTGTACAAAGTCTTAGGTCACGGGAACTGATGAAGCTAAGCTTCTTGATATATTGCCTCCTTGCGCTAGCTGGCCGTTGTATTTCAAAAAATTTCAACAAGCAATATCCTGATTCCTGAGATGGCTTTTACTGAATCTCCGTTTTTACTTTCTTGAGAGAGATACTGCAAGCTACTTTAACATCGCATTCCTGCGAGACATGATTTCTTTTTAACTTAGTCGTTCATAAAATTAACTCTTGAGGATATGGTCGCTGGAAAACATAACAAATAGGAAGGTAATGTTGACTTGAAAAAAGTAAGCGCCATTTTGTCAGGAGAATTTTGCAAAGGATTTTTTATAAACACTGTAGTAGTTAAATATCAATCATGCATAATTAGCTATCATATAGCTGTTGGTCCAATTCACCTGCGACATGTATACTTCTGGTGCATGAGTTACGGAAAACTTTTCACTGAGAGGTGACTAGAGCCGCAAAAGTTGCACAATATCGGTCTAGATTTTGTGGCAAGTCGCAATAAATATATTAGGAGGAACATGACTATAAATAACATGGTTCAATCATGTTCAATTTATTTTTCCCTTCATTTATGATCGTGGGGGATGCATCGGGACACCATGAATATGATTATCTAACATAGTAACATGTATCACGAACCCACAACTGAAATAGAATTCGCCTCTTGGTGAGTCATTGGAAGAACCACAAGTGATCAGGGCAAATACAGACCGTTAAAAGTACAGGTGCAATCATAGTCACGTCAGTATGATACTTCCTTGATTGAAAAAAGTAAGATATTTTTAATTAAATCTTTTTTTTAATAAAATAATTACTTATTTTTAAATTAATACTCTTTTATATTTACCCTGATTTAATAAAATATTCTATCTTAAAATAAATATAAAGTAATTTATTTAATAAGATCATTTTTTTAAATAATAATTATACTTTAAAAGATTAAAAATTCTTACATTTTTTAATTAAAAAGGTATTTTTTAACCAAAGACCAATTTCGTGGTACCAAGTCGTCTCTTCCTAGCACTAAGTTCGGAGTTCAATCCCCATGGCTCTTTAGGAGCTAAAATTATGCTAATTGTTGCACAACCGTGACACCACGAACCTATCTAAAAATTTGGGCAGTCTTCTCTTTTGAATTTTTCAATCTGGTTCAAAGAGGAATCATGACGAAGTTAATGGCTGAAGGAAATGAAGTGAGCACAAAATCAAGAAAAAGCGTCAGTCTTGTGATTACGTACAAGAGAGATAAGATTTATGTCTGCAGGCTCAGAACAGATTCTAAACCCAATTTTCCTTGATTTCAGTCTCTCCAAACTTTGTCAGCAACTCACTGTATATGCCAAACTGGCATGGTGGAACGAGCCCAAAAACTCAGAACTGGAGCTGAGCACCCTGTCTTAGAATAATGCTCGATTTCTCACATCTATATACGATGTAAAAATTATGAATCATGAACCATATCACTCTTTTTTCAAACTCCATGCATTGCATGAGACTCACTAATCTCTCTCTCTCTCTCTCTGACACACACACACACACACACACACACACACTCACACAGAGTTGCTAATAGGGATCTCAAAATAGCTAAAACCTGAATGTGGAAACGCAGCTTTATTTTCAGTGCGGCTAAGGGCCTTGCAGAAACTAAAACTTAACAGTCAACATACAACTCTGGCCAAGGCATCATGCTCATAATATTCACGAATTATGAGAATGATGCTTATCACAACTTGGCCTCGGTAAAATCTTGCATCAGATAAAACGTAAATAAATCATCCTGCTTTCATTTCCCACAAAAAGAAACAAAATTTAGCTTTAGCCCTTAACAAGTTTGGATACTGGACCTGCATACGTTGGTAAGCACAATTTACAAGCAATTCAGAGAAATCATTCATTTCAACATCACATACTATAAATGTCGATTTGCAATTGATAGCTAATCAACATATTTAATGCTCAATACTATAAAAGGCCAAGTTCTAAAGCTTATCAACCTATGAGAATGGACGGATCCTTCTAATATCCTCATATCCGTATATGATTAGATCTTTAACTTCAGTCCCTAATTGAAAACTACTACTATACTAGTTGAACTCAAACGAGAAAGAGAAAAAGAAGTACAACCTTGTTTTCAGATAGTGAATGGTAAGTATTCACAGGTCACACATTTTATTCTTTCCTTCTTTCAATGACAGTATGATACATCTAAAAAAACATTCTTGCCTGGCCTACTTGTCTTTAATTTTATACACTTAGTCCTGGTGAACGGTATAAGACTTACATAAGTTTACAAAGAGACATTATTCATAGCACAGACCTCGGTATCTAACTTTATACATGAACAACTGAAACAACGTGAGGAACCTTTCCTTCATCAAAAGGCAAACTAACATACTCTCTGGCAAACTCCTCAGCAATCTCAAGAGCAAGCTCACCATGAATAGCCTTGCAATACATGTACAGCACAGTGTTCGCTGCTGTGTTGTAAAGCAGAAGCAGCATAAGAAAAGTGGAAGTTACCACAATTTGCGCCACAAAAGCCCAATTACTCCACATATCGTTGGCAGTACTATCGGATCCCATCGTCAGAATCCAACTGCTCCAAACCAAAATACCAGCAAAGAATCCGAAAAACAACAACGAAGACAAAGCCACCCCTTTCATCCCCTTGATCAAACCAGTACTTCGTCTCAGAGGCTCCAAGCCCCAACTCGATTCTACTACCACTACCACCGATACCAAGGTCCAGTTCACTTGCAGATACACTAACACAAGCAACAGAACAAGCAGGAGAATCCCAGAGAAGCCGATAAAATAAGGGGAAGAGTATTCAATTTGAATCCCTAGGAGCTCAATCCCTCGAATCACCAGAAGCAAGAGAAGCCCGAATACAAGGGTGATCAAGGACACGATGATCTGAGAAACGATGACGGTGACCAGGAGGGGTAAGAAGGAGGCGAAGATAGATTTGATTGCGGAAACAAGCCTGACGGGTCGGCCGTAGAAGCCATGGAATATGCTGTAAGTGATGGTACCGACGGCAGAAAGGGAGAAAATGAAGACGAAAAGGGAATAAAGGAGAGAGAGCCAAAGGGTATTATGGTCAACCAGTGGTGGTGGTTGCTCGTGGAAATGAACAGTCAGACGGAGAAGAACGTGGAAGTTGGAGGAGAAAGAATCGGTGAGGAGGCGTTGGAGGGTAGGGTAGACGATGAGAGAGAAGGAAAGTGGGAGGAGGAAGATGACGGAGAGAGCAAGGAAGTGGCGAGAGTGAGCGTTGATGATGCGCTTGGATTCGGAGAGAACGGCCCAGAGATCAAGAGACGGTCCACGGTGCGGCATCGCCATGGTGGATCCCGATGACGGAAGTGCAGTGTCCGCGGTGGCGTGTGGAGCTAGAAACTCCAGAAGCAGCGTCGTGACGATGATGCTGGATGCAAAGTTTGGGGCTTTCGGCTATCCCTATCTTCTCCTTTTGTTGGAAGCTGACGGAGCGCCGCGTTTTCGGAATTCACCGTTGAGGAAGAGGTTTTCAAAACAAACGCTGGTTTGATCCTATTTTACCATTGCTGGATGAGAACAAGTTACTTTGCAAGTTCTAGAAAGTGTTCACATGTACTGGCCGAAAAAATAGATGGTATTCACATCTAAGGAAAATTGATAACAAGAACCCCTTTTTTAGTTGTTGTTGTTGAAAGAGTGACAAATTCTTGTATGCACCCTGCACTATGCCATTCATGTCCAGCCTAATAAATATATCATGTTAGATAATTACAAAAATAAATTAATTATTATTGATAACAATAGAGAGAGAGGGAAGAAATAAAATTAAAGAGTTATCATCTAAAAATAAAGTCATTAAAAATGATAAAATTTAAAATTTTATTTCATTGAATTGGTATAACATGACATGTTTTTATTAGGAATGGCATTGATAATGTCATAATGTATTGGCCCAAGAATTTCTCTTAGGTAAGTATCTTATTAAGACCATGGGATATCTCATCATCACTCTTGTTTTGTATGGAATATTAAAGATAAAACACCTCAATAGAAGTAATTATACGATAATTAAAATCAAGAGTTAAAGGATAAATCTACAATAAAAGTAGTTAGTTAGGGGCACTTAAGATCATAAAGTAGAGATGGGTGTAAACGTATCCCAAACATTAAATTAATGAGTGCGATTGGGTCATCTTCGTTTAAATTGGTGAACATTGATCGTGACAAAACACACATAAACTAACAGTTGAAATATTTGATGACATGGTAGGTAAAAAAAAAGAAAGAACAGATATATTTCATGATGTGTCCGTGAAAGATGATCCTTGTTAGCACTTCCTTGGCTAAGTCACAATTAATCCTTGTAAGCTTAAAGTTAGGTCTGGACACTTTGTTATTTTGCTATGTTACATTCAAGAGTCAAAAGGTCAAGGTCTTTAGTTTGATAGGGTTTGAAATTGTGAAGACGACTTGGTGAGAGCATGTCGAAGAAAGCAAAAGGCAAAGTGCAAGTGGATAAGAGTCGAGATAGTAGAGGAAGTGGGGTGTATGTGACGAGAGGATCTATTGCAAAGTTTACGGTTTATGAAAATGACAATACAAAATCATAGGTGAGCATCAATTTGTTCAATGTACAATGAATAGGCAGTAATTGAATGAGACTTGTATTAGAGTGGACAAGATATTTGGATAAAAAGTATCCATTTGGGTAAGAAAGCATACATTTAGGTAGGAGTGTTCTTGAACATTAAAAGCTAATAGAGGATGACATTTGGGTAAGAACCCATTTATTTGGGTAGGAACAGGTTATATTGGTAGGAATAAGACTCACCTAGGTTACCATGGGTTTATGTCATCCATCTAGGTGCCACCAAGCCATAATGGTAATACCTTATTGAAGTTTCATATTCCTCCTCGCTGCAACCTTGTCTAATGATTGCAACCCTCCTCTTGTTACTTCCAGCGGTCAATGATGAAGAAGACACCATGCCAGTACACGAAGAAGACAAAGACCCTTTTTATTGCCAATACTCATGCTTCTGCTGTGGTTGGTGTACCATTTATTACTTGCAAATGGTCGAGTTTAATAAGAATGAAAACAAGCTATACTAACACATTAGCAAATATTTCAACCATTAACTTATGTGTGTACTTTCACAGTCAATATTCACCAAGTCAAATGGAAATGGCACAATTACATTTATTAATTTAATGTTGGAGGTACTTTTGTACCCATCTCTACTTTTTTAATGTTGGAGGTACTTTTGTACCCATGTCTACTTTATGATGCTAGATGCTCTTAATCGGTTACTTTATATAAATTTGTTCTTTGACCCTAAAAAGAAGGATAAAACATCTCATCACAAGTTGATGATGATCACACCGATCAAACTATATTAAAGATAAAATATAAGAGAGCATTTCATTATAAGTAATTGGACTTTATTTATTATTTACAAACATGCTTTTGTTAATTTGTTTTGATCTCAATCATTAAGGATAGTTTAGTCATTTGAGATTGAAAACTATTTAGATGAACCCCTTTTTTCTTTTGAGTGAAAGGCCACAAGTAAACCGTGCTATCTGACATGAATAGTTATGTCATCGTACAAAAAATTCCTACAACCCAAGGATGGAGAATCCAAAATAAGTACATTAAAATTATCAGTAGAAGCTTGATGGGTTAACCAATCAGCGCATGTGTTTGCTTTTCTAAAATCATGATTAAATGTAATAGTCCAGTCTCATGAAATGAGATATCTGATATTATTAATAGTAATAGGCAATAAGTGATTGATAAAAAACTCATTGTGAATTAATGAAATAGCCTAATTCAGATGAATCCTTCAAGCATGTAGAGCACTATCATATTATATTGGGCCCGCACAGCAATTTTTCTTCTTCTAGAACCTTGTATGCCATTTCTCCAAAAAAAAAAAAATACTACACGTGTAAATGCGTAATACAACTTAGATATAAGGTCAATTAAATTATGATTTTTTTTGAAATAAGGTGATTTAAAGGATTGAAAGGGCGCAAATTTAAAAACTACCCTTCATAAGTAATGATTAAATCCATCCCTCTTTACAATAAAAATTATTATTTATAAAAATATTAAAAGTTATTTTTATCTCTCAACTTTAAATGAAGGGTTAATAAATATTCTAAATTTAAATAAGGGTATATTCTATCCCTCAATGTTAGAAATTCTCTCCCTCCATTTCCTTGATGTTATTTTCACATTTAATAAGCCTCACATTGATTTTTTTTAAATTTTTATTATAAAATATTAGATTAATGGTAATTTTTACCCTTCAACTTTATTCAAAAAATCAGTGGTCACCTTGAACTCAAATATTTTATAATAAAAAATTAAAAAATTATAATGTGAGGTTCACTAGTAGTAAAGAAACGACAAGTTAATGTCAGAGGTATTGAAGAAGAGAATTTATAATGTTGAAGGACAAAATAGATTATTATTCAAGTTTAAGCAGCCCATTGATATTTCAGGTGAAGTTGGAAGGTAAAAATAACTTTACTTCTTTATAAAATAATCAAAATCTCATGGGTAAATGAGTAAATTGATCCCTAAACTATATGTTTAGAAGTTTTTGGGACTCTAAACTTATCCTTTGTGTAATATTATTCTTTAATTTTTAAAAACGATACAATCTGACTCCTATTATTAACAAAAAATAATTTTAATTATTAGTTGATCAGAAAATGATAGAAAATGTCATCAAAAATTATAGAAAATGATTACAAAATTTTTTGTTCCTTTTATGTATTTTTTTTTCTTGTAATTTTTGGGTCATTTGGACCTCACAGTTGATTTTTGTTAATGATAGAAATTAGATTATACTGTTTTTAAAAATTAAAAAAATATGAGTTTAAAGTTTGCTTGTGAACCTATAATTTAAAAGCTAATTTATTCATTTATCCAAATTTCATAAAAATGATTTTAACAATTGCATCTTCAAAACACATAAATAAATTAAATTAAATTTATTTATCAAAATTAAGGTGAATCTTTTAATATATTTGACTTTAATGATAGATGTATTTTATATTTATTCAATTTGACCTCCGTGATAAAATATTATAAACAAATCAAATTAATTAATTTTAAATTTAAACAAACTTTTTTCAAAGTATAAATTCAAATTTTAAACTTAATTTATGTACTATCATAAAATAAAATGTCAACGTAAAAGTTAAATATAATTTTTTTTGACCTGTCAATACAATAATTAATCAACACACATAAATTGTAACAGAAATGGAATGGTTTTAATAATGCGGTGCACCGATATCTCATATCCATCTCCTTTTGGGTGCAAAATGTGGCTCCGCCGAGGTCTAATTTTGTTTATAGGATTTAAAATTAAATGGACTACATACTTTATTTATTTTTTTGTAAACATATAATTTTTAATCCACGCACTCATTTTATTATTAATCTTTACACTATATTTATTATTTTAAATTTTTTTAATACTTTAAATTTTTTTAAAATCTTTATATTTTGTTCACAAAGAGATGTAGAATACTATAAAAAACACAAATACTTATAATAAAATATGAGTAAAACATGAAATATGTTTGTTCTTATTTTTTTCAGAGAAATATATACTTTATGTACTTTTCAAAAACGACATGATTTTAATTAATTAATTAATAATTAATAATTAATGTCAAAGATAGATTTGATTTTAGTAAAGAATTGAGATTGAGCCTCAGAAATGTAAGCACCTAGACATTCCGTCCAACGATACTGTGGTGGAATGGGGAGGAAACACCGCTAAGCAAAGTATAATACGGACGAAAATGGAGCTCCGGTTTGACGAATGACCAATCCACAACGCAAATCCCTTCCTCCTCCAAATCCTCTTTCTTCCTTCCGCCATGCGAGCATTCTATCTTCCTCCTCATCCCACAGCTCCGCTCTCTCGTGCCTTCACATATTGCATCGCTTCAATCTCTCCTCACATTTTGTTCAATTCTTGAGCGTCTGATCTCCATTGCCGGTAAAAGCGCTGTGTATCGATAAACAGTTCTTAATTTTCGTTTTTTGCAGCAGAATCTTGTTCCTTCAGATCGTGGTTTAACTTTAAACTTGATTTTAATATTGAGTATCAATGAAATAATCGCTTTTTGCGACGGATTTTTACTAAAATGGAGATTTCCAGTGGAGGTTGTTCTCCTAGAATCAGGTCTGATCATTTGAGGAAAGAGGGATCCGGCGAAACCCCTTTTCACTTTTCGGCGTTGGAACTCTCTGATCATGGTCATACCTATCAAATCCAATCAATGAATGCGTTGGAGATTTTGAGAGAGACTGTCTGGATACTTAGGTATAATTGCTGGGCCTTCATGGCAATCTTGGCGTTGCTCATTTGTCCCGTCTCTGCTGTGCTTTTATCTAATATATTAGTGGATATGTCGATTGTAAAGAGTCTCACTGTTCGGCTTATGTTGGTTGCCAAGACTAGTGGTCTGCCTCTAAGACCTCTTATCAAGCAATCTTGCCAGCGTTTTGCAGAGACGGTAGTTTCTTCGGCTATGTGCCTACCTTTGTATATCACTTTGTTGTTATTGTCAAAAGCAGCCGTGGTGTATTCTGTAGATTGTACGTATTCGAGAAAAACGTTCGATGCTTTGAAGTTCTATGTGATCATCACTAAGTTTTGGAGGAGAATATTTTCAACATACATGTGGGTGTGTACAGTTGTAGTTGGTTGCATCACCATGTTTTGTGTTTTTCTTGTTTGCTTCTGCAGCGCATTGTCTGTTCTTGGCTTTTCTCCAGATCTAGTTGTTTATGCTGCAGTGTTGGTGGGTCTGGTTTTCTCTGTGATATTCGCCAATGCCATTATCATTTGTGACATCGCAATTGTAATCTCTGTACTGGAGGATGTTTCGGGAGCGCAGGCAATGCTGCGGTCTAACATTTTAATCAAGGGACAAACTCAGGTGGGTCTGCTGATATATCTTGGATCAACCATAGGAATGGCTCTTGTGGAGGGTTTGTTTGAGCATCGAGTGAAGACGCTAAGCTATGGTGACGGATCCTCTAGGATGTGGGAGGGGCCACTGTTGGTGATAATGTATTCATTTGTGGTACTTATAAATTCCATGATGAGTGCAGTTTTCTACTTCACTTGTAGATCATTCAGAAGTGCCATTGACGCCTCAACCGGTGAAGGCAATTCCATTTTAGAAACTATGGTTATTTCTGCTGAAACAGTGAGCGTTCAATGACATAGTCAATGTGACTTTTATATGTTAGTCAGACTTGATAAGATGAAGACGGGAGTGGCAAGAAATTGTTCCAATCAAAGTGTGTCATCATGGAAGAACTTTGCCTGACTCCGGGAATGGGTGACTTTGGCTGGCTTTCGAGTTTCGACTCTGAGATCAGATAACTAATTTGAGTGCCTGAAAATTTCTTCTTTTACTGGTTTTTAGATACTTACAGGTAAATAAAAGCTTGACAATCCAAATCTATGGCTTAACTTTTTGCAATGCCACTGGAAAAAGCTGTTATTTTTGTTAGAAAAATAGTACAAAATTTAAGCACAAATCCCTTCATTCTCGTGTTATGCCATATCATTCAAAAGCTTTTGTCTGTATTTTGTGTGGTAGGGATTGGAAAAATTTGTGGTGAATTGTTCTTGATGTCTACTACTTTGATGAATGACAAGTAGGCACAATTAGGCAGTCTATCTTAAGTTCTGATCTTTATATGTGGCTCCATGATTAAAGGTGTCTAATATTGTTAGTGCTCTTAATCTTCAGTAGCCTCCATGCCAAAAGAAGTGCTTGTTCTTAATTAGTAGTGTCTAATGTTGGCCCAAGAAAAAGGTGTTTGTCCTTAATCTTCAATGAACTCAATGCTTTTTGGGAATTCGGCATGCTTGGTCAAATTTTGTAATAAAGAAAACAAATTGAGCTGTAAATTCTCTGTGCATCCGGATCAAGAGATTTTGGATAAAACCTATTTGGAGCTCATACGCGCATCAAAGACCTCTCTGAATGATAGATTACTGTCAATTGGTATTTTGAATTTGTGAATTGGTTACTCTTAATTGGTTCTATTTGATGTGCGTGTATCTGGTGCTTGTAAAAGCGGTAATTATATTCACTGCCTGGTTAGATGGTTATAGTGTGCAGTAGTTTTGGGACACACAGAGAACTAGAAGTAGGACAAAGGTGAGACCGTTGATTCTACACTTCCTTGATTCAAGACTAATGCTTGTAATCAATCAATTTATGAGTATAATGCATAACAATAGAACACCTATTGGTATTTTTTTTTTCTTCCATTGCTTGTTATTTTGGAAAATTTGGAGGTATTATCACTTTCTGCCTAGACTAATTTGGACTCCCATTGTGTGGAACTGTTTTTGTCAATGGTGGTTTCATGAGAATCTTAAGAATGCCTTTGACATATTTACTTAATATGGTTGCATATCCTATGACTCCAACCTTATATCCTAAGATAAGTTGATTCGATAGTCAAATCAAGCACCCCTTGGTACACTTATTGGTGTTTTTACTTGGTTTTTTAGTGTGAAATCTTTGAACAAGCTAGTCCTACTATTCCTAGAGAAAATGTTGGAACACCTTTCATTAATCACAAATGATTATTGACTTGGGAAAATTTATTGTTGATATGGCAATTGAACTTGTTATTTGGCTTACTTTCCTCTCTATCCTTGTGGAGTTTATGAAGTGACTCAAAGAGTTCGTTTGATCAAAGGAGTAACATATCAACCTTACGTGTTCATTCGAGAGTTTGGAGCAAACATGTAATGTTTGTTTTAAAGGTGGAAGATATTGGTCTCTCGAAATGGGGTGAATTAGAGTTTGAATTTCTAATGAGAGAGATATTCACATTTAGTGCTTGTTAAAGCTTCAATCAAAAATTTTTCTAATAGGAAAATACATGTGGCAAACAAAAAAGAAAAGAAAAGAAAAGAAAAGGCTTTTGTTGAAATTCAACTAACATTACATTTTCATTCCAAACAAAAAACCTTGAGATATGAAAATTACTTGGCTTTGTGAAATGAACCAAAAATCTTATATGCTCTTCACTGACATTCCAATTCTATAGCAATTCTAGTAATTTCTAAAGAAATTTTAACCATATTGGCCAAAAGTTTGAAGAAGAACATGGAGATTGATGTTAACATAATGCTGGACGCTTCATAGTGCCACTTCTTGAAACACATAAGTTTAAAAAGAATGCTCATCTTAAAAGATTGGCTTAATGGGTGTTTGAGGGTCACTTGAACTTTTAAACTTAATTTTTTTTTTTTAAGAAATCTTGATGTGAGGTTTACAACAATGCAACCCCTCTTTAGTTTCACTTGACCTCCTACCAATTAGAACTCTTCATGTGTAGTTTTTCCTATGATACCAACCTTTCAATGAATATACTAATATTACAAACATAAGTCTAAAGAGATAGTTTATCTTAAAAAATTAGCTTATTGGATGAAAGAGTCATTAAAATTTATAGACTTCATTTTTTTTTTTTGGTGAGGATTCTCAATGTAAGACTTGTAACTACAAAAACTACCTTATTAGGGTATATAAGGTTTCTGGGGTTAATTTGAAAAGAAAGGAAACATGAAATTGTTAAGATGATGATGAGGACGACGATAATAACAAAATCATATATCTCAATAAGTATTTGTTACAGTTTTCTTAAATTACCCCTTGTAAAGTTCATTATTTTCATTCAACAGAGAACCAATGATGCATCCTTATTTTGATAGACGAGAATATTTTAGTTTAATTTTTTTATTTTTAGACATAATTATTATAGTTAACTATTTTCTTAAACTATATAATACAATTATTTTTCTTTATATATAAAAACAAAGGTAATAACTCCTTTAATATTTTTTCAACAAAATCACCCAACTTATGTTTTATGTATAATATCTCAATTAATTTTTTCATCATATCGAATAATAATTCCATAATATCTAAACTAAGACAAAAGGTGGTTTTTATTGTGCATGGACAGGGTCAACAGGCTTCTTTTGCATCCAAAAAATGTCGCAAGTTCCAATTATTGGGCCGAGAGAACGGATCAATACACAGTACACACAAGACCATCAAATGGCTCTCCATTTATTTGTATTTACAATTAACATTTAACAAAGAGGGGTGGGAGGAACATGGAAGTGAAGATGGTGATGCAAAGCAGGAAAACAAAACCAGAACGTCAAATGTTTGTGTGGTAGCTTTCATGATGGGACAGTGATAGTTATTGATCCAGAGGACGTAGGGGCTTTTGTTTTGCGATTTGATATTTTCATATTTGTGATGTTATGTTATCAGTCCAAAGTTCCATCACCGACAGAGAGAATCTCTTGCTGTTTTACCCTCCTCCTCCACTTATCCTTCTCAATCCTCATTCCTGCCTTTCTATTTTATTTGCTTATTTTTCCCACCCTTTGATACTCCACTCCTTCATGTTCTTTTTGGAAGACAGGTTTAACCATTTTTACATTCATTCAAAAATTAGTTGCTCTCATTAAATATTCTTTCTAGTATTAAATATAAGGTTATTCTTAACTACCTCGCGAAAACTAAAAGAATGTAGTTAAGTAATTAAAATCGTCTGAATATAAATTGACTTTTCAAATTTAACCCCCATTTAATTTTAAGAAGTCCTCAATGAGACTGACTTTTAGAAAAAAGCTAATTAATACTCGATCTTTTTTAAATTGCTCACTTGTGTTTAATTAAAACAATCATATTCAAGGTAGACATGGTCGGATACTAAATTATAAGTGATTATTCCATTCGTTCATAATTATAAAATGCTTTTAATTTATGTTTGGTTGAAAGGAAAGGAATAAAAGATTTTAATAGAGGAAAGGTAATGGGAGGGGAAGGAGGTTTAGGAATCCAATTTCTCTCAATTTGAAGGGGAAGTGAGGAAAATTTATTAAATTTTTGACTCTTGTTAAAATATAAAGAAAACATCAACAATAATTTAATTATTATCATGCTTGCCAAAAAAAATAATTCACTCTTTGTAAAATATAGAGTTAAAGTCCAATTTCATTCCTGTACTTATTTTTTAGAAGCGTTGGGCACCTTGTATTTTTAAATGAGATAATTTTATCTCTAAATTATTTTTTTGAGGAGCAAAATCCTTCTTCTATTAGTCAACCGTTAAGTTTTTCACTTTATGCTAACATGGCACATGCGTGAAGCCAATGCACAATGACATATAAAAATTTGACCATGTCCTTTGGTATTAATTTGTCCCTAAACTCTTTTTCTAAAAGCGTTGAATACCTTAAAATCTTTTTCTATGAGCACTGGGTGCCCTAAAATCTTGTTAAAATAAAATTTAATAAATATTATTAAAATATTAAGTATTTTATTTAAAACATTACACCAACCAATTTAATATTTTTTATATTTTGTATTGTTATATTAAAAACAAAGGGAATGAACTTTTAAATTAATACAAGGATTTTTTCTTTTCATCTTTCTATTTTTCTCTTGTTAAATAATTTTTTTGTAGCACATTAATACATTAAGCGATATTTTTTAAATTAATATTTTTGTTCACATATTATTGGTCTTAATTTGTCATGTTTGATTTCTAATTTTACTCTTAACACTGCAACATACGGAGAGTATTTCTAACAGCACGACCTCTAGCCCCTTATGCTGGTGAATGCGGTGTTGGCACGTGTCTCCTCACGGGCCCGTGTGTGACTTTTTTTAAGGTGATACTTGGATTATTCCTCACCCCACTAAAGAAATCTTTTGAAACCTTTCCAAACTTAAACCTCCAACCTCTACCATTTTAAGAGAGTTGAGACTAAGTCTTGTACCATTGAGTTAGTAACCCAAGCACCACCTTGGAGAAAGCCGGCTTGGAATTTGTGAGGGGACACATGCCAGCACTACATTCGCCAGCATAAAGGGCTGAGGGCCGTGACAATCCTCACCCCACCCTACTAGACTCAATAGTATCAGACTTAACTTCAACTTTCTTAAAGTGATAGAGGTTGGAGATTTGAGTTTAAGAAGACCTTTTTAATAAGGTAAGCAATGACCCAAGTACCAACTTGGGGAAAGTTACACATGGGCTCGTGAGGAAACACGTGCCAGCACCACATTCGTCAACGTAAGGGGTTGGAGGCCATACTATTACAGTATTAATTTGAGTAGTACAATATTTTGAAAAAAGATCATTAGTTAACTAATATTAAAAATATAAATAAATTCTGACACGTATAAAAGGCATAATAATTTGGATATTGTCTCAGAGAGAAGATCGAAGATCGATGTATAAAAAATGCTAGTTTAAGTTGTTAATATTTAAAAAGTCATTTATCAATTTTGAATGAATATATATAAAAAATAATATTTAAATTATTAAATATATTTAATATATTGGTAATATTTATTAAATTTTATTTTAATAAGACTTCAAGGTACCCAATGTGCTTAAAAAAAAGAATTTAGGTGCCTAATAGCCAACGCTCCTAAAAAAAAGAGTTCAAAGGCAAACTAATATCAAAGGGCGTAGTTAAAGTTTTGCTTGTTATTGTGTATAGGCTCCATGCACAACGTCAACAGAAAATGAAAAATTTAACAATCTCCTAACAGAAATGTATTTTTTGGATCTCAAAAAATACTTCAGAAAAATATTACTCCACTTAAAAATATAGAGTATCTAGTGCTTTTA